GAGACAGGTAATGAATGGCTTTTTAAAAATCTCTGGAGCAAAGGTTTGGAACAAAATCCCAATCAGAATTCAAGAATGTCAATCTCTTAATTATTCAAAATTACTTATAAGAAACACTTTTTCTGATTTCACAATTAATTTCCTTTGTCTATACTTTTAACATTTATTCCCGGCCCCGAAACTTGGACTCAGAACACCGGGATGGTGTCCGGCAGGGGATAGTTGTTAGGTTTGTTATTTAAGATAAAAGTTGTGACAGCCCCGAAACCTTGACTCAGAAATACCGGGATGGTGTCCGGCTGGGGATAGTTTCTACCATTTTTATCTATTTAAGTAATTGTACAGTATTTGTCCTGTCTCTTATACACATCTAGATGTGTATAAGAGACAGGTATTTGTCCTACCTGGTAATCCCGGCCCCGAAACCTTGACTCAGAAATACCGGGTTGGTGTCCGGCGGGGGATAGTTTTTACCATATTGTAGTTAAGTTGTAGTTAAGCATAACCTTGATCTGTAATTCCTGGCCCCGAAACCTTGACTCAGATAGTTTTCCACCAAAGTTTTAACTGTTGTTTATTTTGTTGTTGTTATTGTAATATGTGTTTGCAGGACCATATTGTAAAACAGCGGTAAGATCTTGCCTGTTTATGTTATCCTGCCTAAAGATGTTTTAAATAAATAAAATAAATAAATAAAAATAAATGCATGCCTTTGAATTGCTGCTCGTCAAATAAGTTAACGTCCAGTGTGACTTAGATTGACTATTGATGCATAAGAGGAAGAACTTTCTTATACCACTCGGAACGGACAGGTTAAAAAATTATGGTAAGCAGATCTGCGAAAGATGCGAAGCAACAGAAATACAAAGTCAGTTTGAAAAAAAAAACATTTTATTGCTTATGAATTAATTACATTATCATTATAATGTACATTATCTAATTAGAATCACACTAATGGATATTGGAAAGACAATATATATATTTTTTTTAGAATTATCAATCTGAAAAACTTCATGTACAGTATGTGTTGGTGTGAGATGATAAGAAGCATCTAAATCAGTGTGTTGGGGGGGGGGGATTGGCAGGAAGACTAGGCCAGGTGTTGGCCATTACTCATCAGAATCCCTTTAAAAATAAATCATGAGGCAAAAGTCCCCGTTAGCAGAAATGGTCCATAGTGAGCTGTCAAATGGTCCAGAGGGAGCTGTTAGCAGCTCCATAAACTTAAGTTTAATTGGTTTTAAGAATGTGCATTGGGAGTTAACAAGAGAGTCCTGGCCAGCAACATATAGCCATTGGAATGTAAACAAGAAACCCATGACAATTACTCACTTCATCTCATGGGCTTCAGTGGCAATAAATAATTTAAGAACCCATCGCTATTCAACAAACCAGCAGGATTTATAACCCGGGTTTTTCCAAAAGCGGGTGCCATGGACCAGTTCTGTTAACGGGCCAAAAATGCAGCATGTCATAATTTTATGATTTTTTGGGCTCAATATGTTCTTAAGCATCTTAAAACTGTGAAATTGGCCGGTTTTCCCAATACCGAAGGTTAGATCGTTGGTGTCAAAATTGTGTGACAGCTTCAGTCCACCAGTGTTGTGAAATTCTAGTCATTATTTAAATAGAGATTACAGTATAGCTTTTTTTAATTGCTAAATTAAAAACACATGTTGACACTTTAACTACAGCACATAAGATGTACAAAAAATAATTCTTGTATTTAAAAGAAAGAATTGCTGTTGTTTATTTTGTATTTGATTTATACATGTATGGTTTTAACCAATATTTATTATATAATTCATTATTATTTTATACAATATAAATAACACAAATGAATGGATTATATATTTATATAATTTATACAGTATAACATGACTATGTATACATAATATATAACATGACATAATGAATTTATATAATATTCATGTAATATATATTACTCCTTCATGATTGTCTTTAGTCAAGTTGTAATGGTGTTTATACTATATAATCACTAACAGCACTGGATTTTAAAAAAAATATTCGAAATAAAGAAGACAGCATTTCAGAATGAAGTTTAACCCAATTTTTTAGCACAAAAGGTGCCACACACTTACATGCATAATCATATTCATGGGCTTCATACACATCCATTCAAGCATATCGGTAGTTGTAAAAAATATTTACATGCAAAGTTCACAGCTAATCAGCCAAACCATTAGAAAACATGTGTTTTTGTCATTGATTTTCGGTGGGAAACTTTTGTGTTTGTCAAAGGTCAAGTAAAAAATGTTGCATACACACTAAATGATATAACAATTACACAGCAGTAGCCTCAAGATTCTATGTAACTTAAGTGACACTCTATGGAAGTATCATTTTTATATATTGATGTAAATTTCTTTAAATTAGACCAAAATAATAGCATATCTATATAGGACCAGATGAAATTCTTTTTATCTTTTATATATATATTTTTTTCTGCAAGTAAACATGCCAATACAGGATGTAACTGTAATGTGCTATATATGAGCAAGATGTCAGATCAAACCCAAATCAGGTATATGTCACAAAATGTCATAGTGTGAACAGCGATTTATTCTGATTGTTGAAAAAAATCTTGGTGTTCACAGGATTTGAAGGAGAGCATTTTGACCTCCATGCCAAGCTCAAATTATTCATATTTTTAAATAAAAAAAACTTTAAGCAAAGATCCAGACACATTGACATTTGCTATTTCAAAGAACAGATATGTGTCCAAAGTTACCAACATATTATATGAACTATAGAGGGCCTCCTATATTGTGGAAATACATTTTTATTGACGCCTGCTACGATAAACATCACCTCAGGGTTCTAAAAAAGAGGCTATATGCCGTCTAACCAAAGATTAACTCTTGGAGAAACAGCATATCATATAGGGTAGCACGCAATGAGAATACTGTAATTAAATATTATTACTGTACTATAAATTATAAGCAAGAGTTTAACGACTTTATACTAACATGGAGTGTCACTCACTATAGAATTTTGCTACATTTATCATGGAATGTATCAGTATATTATTAATATGCTTTTCAATGGCATATTTGAATTCAACAAGTAAAATATTAAAATATGGATAACTGTCTTTACCTTACCAAAGTTACAAACTAGCAATGCATAGGACCTACAGTCTTTATTGCTGGGTAAATTTCAAATTCAAAATGCATTATGGAATGAGATTACAACAAAATCTAATGTGTGTAAATTTATTTTAATTTTCGTAACATTTAGTAAGTCCCAAAATGTTTCAGTTCAGTTCTTTACTCTTTGCAATCTCTCCCCCAATGGTGAATTAAGTAAGAGGTACTGTCTGAGGCAAATCCAAGACATGGTGAAACAATCCCACCTAACCACTCCCTTATGGCAGCAGTAAATTAAGCTTTAAATTCCCTCCCAAACCACCTCCTCAGACTATTAAGTTCTCAATTGGCAGTTCACATCCTCTGGCAAAAAATGTATCCTCTCCTGATAGTAGCCCCTTATTTGACTGAACAATTTCTTTCCATTTTCTTTAAAAATCATGGTCCTGCCCCATTTCCTAATTCATTTTTAAAAGTCCTAATCCACACTGGCCATCATATGCCGTATAATCCCCATATACGCTAATGTTTCAGTACATTCAATTCCTATATGATTATTTACTCCACCCTATAACCATAACTAATACTCATAATTAATTGCATCTTACAAAATAGCATGAGGAAACAAATAGTCTTAATAAATAGGAAAGTCGAAAGAGAATATACTAGCTTAACCTAAATACCTCAGTTGGTAGAGCAACCAAATTTTCACAGAGACTTGGGTTCGTATCCCAATAGGTATAATAGATTTTCATCAAAAAACCATAATTCATAATATAGTATTTCCATTCACCAGTATTTCCATACACAAGATAAATTCCCACCTTAACCAACTAAGACTAAATTTCTGTACCAAAATGTGGTCAATAAGTTTTGGTTTTCCAAAAGTGTTGGATTAGCTAAGCCACACCCCCCCCCCACCCTTGAGTGTTATCATCTTGAGCCTGACGCACGCCGCATCAGCCGCCAACAAATTTGTCCTTGCTCAGTAAGTGCATGCCGACTGCTACGCCAGTCTGCCGACTGTTGGTGGCAGTTTGACAAGATCGTCATTGAAATTACCCATCTTAAAATTTGTTGTTGTAATCTCAACAATTGAATTGGCCGCCAGTGCCGTGCCAGGCTTCCTCCCCAAGGGCTATCATCTTTATACTGACTGAGTTTGGAGGTATCTGCCATAGTTTACCTGTTCATGGGCACAGACTGGAAGTGAGCGTGACGTGTCCCCATAGGTGTTGCCGAACTGATAGCGCATTTCTAGAATAAAAAATAATTAAAATAAAGATCAAAAACTCCATTCATTGTTTGCTGGTACTTGAAATAATACAATTGTGGCAAATAATATAATACCAGGGGTTCCTAATTGGAAGAATCCATCCACATCCAAGAGATCTGTTTAAATAAGCTTTCTTATCTAACTATAATTTGCAAGTAAAATACAAAATCAAACGTCGCCTAAAGTAATTGATTTTACCCGACAGAACGAAAGAAGGAAACTCCGCTTTTCAGTCGTCTTAGTCCCTTGTTTTTTGACAAACAATGAACTTTCAGAGGTCAAATTGCTGTCAAGAATATGAATATGTTACTATTAAAAGAAGGAAACTCCGCTTTTCAGTCGTCTTAGTCCCTTGTTTTTTGACAAACAATGAACTTTCAGAGGTCAAATTGCTGTCAAGAATATGAATTGGCTGCTTCGCAGCAAATATATTCTGCTCTGGATTGTGATATTCACTGACTTCCAGAAGCAATTGATAATACAATAGTAAAAACAAGCAAATACTATGGATTTGCAGGAGATGGTTATTTTCTGGGAGATTCTTGTACTATTTAAGAACATAACACAAAATGTTCAGACATGCGCAGTTATTATAACATGCTGTCATTATGTTCTAGCAAATCCAAAGCTCCCTAATATGGGCAGAAGAAGATACAAATATTGGTATATATTATTTCATTTTATTGTAAATAGAATAAAAACTAGTAATGAGAGAACATAGGGCCATGACCACTGAAAGAGACTCACAGAAGCAATTAGTGCAGACAAAAAATGAAACAGTGTAGTAGGTTATGACGATATATGCCATTAAATTCATAATAAAAATCAATAAATGAATGAAATTACAGTACTTACGGGGTAAATATCCTGTGTATTTAGGAACCATTCCAATGGGTTTATAAATTCTCCTTTGGTTTATGGCTTGTCTGTCTTCTCTGGTGAGCTGAAGACTTGCCTTCGCTTCACCATCGGATAACATTACACTGTTGATAAATAAATCATACGTTCATATTATTTAAAATGTCTTAATATTAAATACAATAATAGTGTGACATTTATATAGTGCATATTGTAATAAACTGCTTCTGTGTTTTACATTATTAACCCAGGTCACTGGACTAAACACCTATGGAAGACATCCTCAGTTCCCTGGGGAGCACAATCCCATAAGCAGCTAGAATCAGCCCTTGGTATTTCCTACCAGTTACCCACTTATACTCCTGGGTGGAGAGAGACAAACGAGATAAACATGCTTGTTCAAGAACAAAAGCTATTTGCACAGCAAGGGTTTTGAACCTACCCGAGTCAAGCAAGGATTTTGAACCTACCCGAGTCAAGATTGACAGTCCAAACAACTACCATTGTGCCAATTGCTTCCACGTATATACAATATAATTATTATTCTCAATATTATTACTTACTAAAAATTAATATTTTTATTATTATTAGGCCTATTATTATTATTGTTACTATTATTATGTCACTGTACTTTTTATTATTAGTAATAAAGCTTTCCCAAGTAAAAATTCCAGTTGGACCAGTTAGAAGTGGAACTGGGTGTTGTGTTTTTTGGACAATTCAACTGGTCTTCAACTGGTCCCAGTTCCAAATTATTATTTCAAGCCGTACAGTGTAGTTAAAGAACAAAAGGGGGCCCATGTATTGTTTACAGCAAAAAGTTTGATTGAATGATTTGCCAAGACACTTATAGGCTACCATAAAAAACCGAAAACAAAATTAAGTGTTTACTTACTTTGGCTGGAGCTGCCTATTAATCTTTGTCCGATGTGAATATGTGGAATCGTAAAAGTTTCGGAGAGATTTATCGCAGGCGTTATGGTAACCAGCGCCAAGACCCAACTCTGTGACACCTTTTCGAGGAATAAAACCACAGTAACCTGGCATCGGAGATTCTGTGGAACCACGTTTGTCCTCTGCAAAGGATAAAAATAACCAACTATACTATTTGTAAATAATAACAAAATTTATCATAAAAAATTACATCCAGACAGAGGAGAAAATAAAAATAAATTTTATTGGTGAATGTAAAAAGTGTAGTAATGAGATGGGTACTGTATATGTTATATAATTATGAAGAAGTACCCAGCTTATTTTTGGAGAATTCAAAGCAGTGGTGAGTGTAGTAAAAATTTAAAAAAACTTTTTTTTTTTTCTGAAATTTCAATTCTTTTCATGGTGACGGTACGCCAATTGGCCAAAAATAAAATGTTATTGTTATTCGAAATCATCATTATAGCGGCAGGTTCGCTAAACAAGGTATAAAAACAAGTCTTGCCTAATGGTGGGATTTTCAGGGGTTTCCCTTAAGGTTTTTTTTAACTAGCCAAGTGGACCAGTAAATTAATATTTTTACTGGTCCTCAATCCCTTCCACTAGCCACTATCTTACCAACTTCGGAAGGCTCAAATACCATACTTTTGACATGCTGCCCCTCACCGATGAAGTAACACTGACAGATACAGAAAAATCTTTCTGCTGTCTCTGTATGGGAAATTATGCCACGAAATAAAAATAGAGGAATCTATTTGTATGTACAGTGCACTCTCACAATACGATGTTCGCTACGACGTTCGGTTTTCCGGAAAGATCGGTTTGTGGAACATTTCTATTGAATCTTTTACGAATATGGCAGGCCAGTTTGTCGCTATAACATGCGGAGAAGGTGATTTCCCTCCATGGTCTAGGCTAGTGCGTGATGTTCATCGGTTCGCCTTGAATGACTGAGCCCAAGCCTGCTCGTAGCGGACATTAACATGACAATAAACAAATAAATAAATAGCGATCTTGTTGACATTATGTGTGTGAAATATTTTGTAAAGACATCGTTAAGAGGTGAATGATTAAAGCTTTAGGTATTTCGTTAAGACTTTCATTGACATTTTAACTGGTCACGCGGACTTGTTATTGGGATAATTAACAGGTCCGCCATGCATTTTATTAGCCATTGGCCGGCGGACCAGCGTTATTTCAAACCCTGGATTGTCATATCAAATTGAGATAAAAATTGTAAAAAGATATTGATAGCAAACCTAGAAGAATCTTTCCTGTGGGGTTTCTGTCCCTGTACTGAGTCAGCGTTCTGATAACAGTGTTTTCCGTTGTGACTGGTTGTAGCTTGGGAGCGAAAGATACCGACTTTTTTATTGTTCTTAATTTCTGGTCATGGTTTTTTGTGTTTCTTAGGAAGTCGTCGATACAAATGTCACAATCTTCCTTGTATGTATTGCCAAACTTGAATGGCATTCTTGGAATATAACCTGAAATGAAATTTACAAAATTCACAATTTACTTCCTTGTTGCATCTTAAAATTATATTCATGAAATTAAAAATATTCATGAAATTAAAAAATGTTCATGAAATTTAAATTATTCCTGAATTAAAAATATTCATGAAACTGCATATTAGAATGTTTAAGAAATAATGACCTATAAACCATCACTATCTTCTCATTATTATTATTATTATCACTTTATAATCATTTATAATCATTTATCTGTTAATATCTCATAATAAATATAATTCTCATTATTATCTTTATCATTGTTGTCATAATCATTTCTATCATCATCATCAAAATCATTATACTGTACTTACCATTATCATCATCATCATCAGCATTGTCATTGTCATTGTCATTATCATCATCATCATCATCAAAATCATTATACTGTACTTATTTCATTATCATCATCATCATCATCATCATCATCATCATCATCATTAAAATGCTTATGTTAGTTGTATTTCAGTCCATCCTTCTATAAAGATGTATTGTCCCATGAACATTTTAAAGTAACATAAAAATTATCAACTTTAAAATGGAAATTTGTGTATTTAAAAAATGTTTACCATAATATTACAGCAAAAAAATGATAGAAACACTTCCAGTCTGGAAGTGTTTTATTATTTTTATTATAATTATCCAGCTTAAATATCAGGGTACACATGTTTTAATTTCAATAATTTATATGCCCTAATGAATAATTGGTACCCTGTATGTTACTGCAAAATGAGCAAGTTAATTTCAAAATATTTTTTTATGATTTTTTGTCATTTTCAGGGGTCAATACATCTTTAATTAGTCCTTTTGTTAGAATAAAAAGTACAATATGGCATCCTGAGAATTATACTGTTATAAAATTCAGTAGAGTATTTGCCTTATAGGTACTTCCCTATCTATTGTTAAATTCAATACGTCAATTCTTAATGGATTCAAGATATTGTGTTGAAGTTTCATTTTGTATAATCATGTTAGAATAGAAATTCATGGGGACATGGATGACATATTGTACTAATGTAAAGGCTAGTCCACAGCTCAAAGCACTTCGAGACCGTTTCGGTATAAAGCGCAATATAAATCTAACTACATTACATTTTAAGATATCACAGTACTGTCTGTGGTGAAATCTAGAAAATACTACATCAGAATTTTTTATTGAAAATTTATCCAAACTTCCAATGAGTATTGAGTTTTCTCTGATCAATAGACTACAACACTACAAAAATTGACTACTGGCCAAACATTATACAGCAAATGAAAATAATATATATATATATATATATATATATATTTGACAGGCCCGTAGCCAGACTTCCAAGGGGGGTGGGTCTTCTTTTAGCCAAAGGTGACCTTTTTATACGGGTGCCTCCGCGACCCAATGTGTACCGTAGGCACATGCTCTATGGCATGTGCTGCTCGATACATTGTGTGTAAATGCAGTACATGACTATCCAGAAAAAAATTTTTAATCTAGAGGCTGTGAATGATGGTGTTTTTAGCATATAAAAGTTAAGGCTGACACCCTTGCATATGCTGAATATAATTATCATGATTCAAAGGTGTATACACAGGACGAGGTAATATTTTGACCATGATTCGCTCTAGAATCAAGATAGGCAAGAACACTCGACTGAACTAAAAGTTAATATCAGTGTCACTGCATAAGTCAACAAGGGTACGAGATGAATAAAAGGCATAATTAGGTGACGTCTTTGGCATTAAATATACAGTACTCATTGAGTATGCTCGTCAGCTCGTTTGGCCTGAGATAGATCCACAGGCCACAGGCTATAGGTCTAGCAGCTCTATGAGAAAAATATTTGGCCTGGGAAAGGTTGACCCCAGCCAAAAGGGGGGGGGGGGTCGTCTGACCCCTCCGACCCCCTTCTGGCTATGGGCCTGATTGACATTAGTTGGAGAGAAAACATTTTCTGGTTTAAATTGAAAGCACAACTGCCTTTACAAAGTAAACAATTCATGTTTACTTTTTCAGGAATTGTAGGGGATCATTATGGACAAAATTGTCTTTAAATTATTCTAATTATTATAATTTTTTTTGTGTTTGCTGGCTATATATGTACTGGCTTTAAAGCGATGGCTAGACTTATGTTTTTATTTATTGTCCAATATACCATAAGGTAATGAATACTATTTTTGATTTACGCATGCATCTATGGCTCGATTTTGATAAAAATACATGTCACTTTTAAATTTTATGTTCTTAATGTTAATTTTGGCAAATTAAACAAAATTTAAAAAAAAAAAAGCCGACCCATATTTTTGGAAAATTTCGGTCAGTCGTGGAGGGCAACACAACATTTTTTTTTTTTTTGGCCTAATGAATAAATCAAATGACCAAATCAAATATCCTTAAAATGGTATCCAAGCCTACTTACACAATTGCATTATATTAGATCTACAGTAGATTGTACCAGCCAATGGGCAGAGCCAGTCATTGGTTTGAGTTCAGTGTTTCCATTTCCAATAGGCATACAATACAAAATAGAATGAACTTGAAAACAATACTATATAAAATATAATAATAAATTAGATTTTTAAACTCACCCATATAACCAGGAACCATCTTCTCAGTGAGCTTATTGTCTCCTGTTGACCTTGGAAGTATAAGGGGTGCGGTCTCTCTAGGAAGATCATCCGGTCCTCCAAGGCCTAAACCACCATGGCGATGCTCGGGTTTGAAGTCTATGGGCCATTTTTCTGGTAATGCATGGTGATTTTTGTAAGTCTGCAAATGAATGTTATCATAAAACGTCAGTTAATTGGTTTTGGTTTATAGAGCTTATGATGCTTTTGTATTTATCATGATGAAAGATAATCTTTTGAAATTGTTTTTATAAGTCAATGGAAAGTTGCTAATAATTGTATAAACCTATAAAACCAGAAAACATAAAAAATATAAACATTGTATTTTTAAACCCAGAATCAATGGTCATGATGACATCACACCATGACCATTTATAGGCACATCATGACTATATTATTATTTATTACTATATATATTATTATATTACACAGGCTGTGTTAATGTATAAAAATGTAATATATAGTACTTGTACTTAAAGGCTTATGTTTATGGTACAGTGTACACTTATACCACCATTACTAATTGAGGCTTATTACACAATGTTTACACCAATGTAGCAGGTGTCTAGTATCGGATATTTTATCAAACAAATCTTGTCTTGATGGTGCAACTGATACCTCAACATGTAAACATTAAAACAATTAAGGGTTACTGTACATGTTCGAATAAGCCCCGCACTGATTTTTTTTTTTTAGCTAAGCGTGAAAGCGATTTTTACTGATGGAGTTCAAGACAACCTCAGCTCCACTATGGTTTGGGCTGTGGCACATCTCAGGCTTTTTTCTCCTTTTGTGGGGGGGGGGGGGGGGGGGGGGGGGTGGAGTGGGCACACATCCACCTATGTATCCAAAGTGCATTATATTATGGTAATTAATGAGATCATAACAAACCTTAGCTAGTTTGCTTGTCGCATTCCCATACGTGTCTCCAACGTGGTATTTGTACTGTTCAATGTAGCCATTGTAACTGAAAAAATAATTTCAAATATTTTAAAATTTATTAAAAAACAATATGTCCAAGATATTATGCCTCTGAACATGCCTATATATTTGGCAAATCCTGGTGAAAATTTAAAGAGTAATATATTAGGGGCAAAACCTAACATAAAAATCCGAAGAGCTGATCAATTGAATTGTCTGTGATTTTACTAATATACCAAATAATTAAATAACATGACGTGTTAGACACGACAGCGTAACCATCAGCATTGGGCACAAACAAAGTCTAAGCACAAAGCAGACTAAAGAATTCTACTTAATAAAGTAAGAAATTATGATAGTACAGGATATTACAATAATAATATGCTACAGTTCTATACGATTCGAATGTTCAAATTTGTACTTACCCTGGGACTTGTGTTCCAGCTTGTAGCTGAGCGAAGTCCCTACGGCGACGTATATTCCACGTGGTGGAATTCGGCATATTTGTATTCATCATTTTGAAGGATTTATAGTTAAAATTCAGACAGAGAAAGTGTAATAAACGACGCTTTGGTATACCTTTCGAACCGCACCACCAAGCTCACGAAAACAAACAGTCGTTGATTACTGTTGCCATGTGCCAATTACTTGTTGCTAACGTCGCACAAAGATATATCAATATTCATCAGTGTCTATGAAAATTGTAGCCGTTTAGCCAATCAAATTTGTTTATTTGTTAAGTTGGTACTGAGTGGGCGGTACTTGTCCGTGGGAATAATATAGCTTTTCTAAAATTCACTGGCAAGTTGTAGCGCCTTCACAATGATATATCTTCGAATTGCTTAATCAAAGCTATGTATTTGCAACATGTCTGCTTAGTAGTTTGGAAGGACTGAATACTCAGGACTTACAATACAAAAATACCAGACTACAGAAGGAAGGAGGTGTCGATGTGATATTATATGCACTTCCCTGGGAATACTAACATTTCTTTTCTAAATGGGGGCTTGCGGAAGCTCAGAGATTGAGAAGGAAACGGATGATTCTGGAAATAAGAAACAAATCGACGAAAACTCGACTACAATTTATAGCCTTGTGAATTCGAAAGGCGGTGGTACCCTGGTAGACTTAGCTCGCAAGGCAATAAAAACTGGGGATTGGGATGAATTGGACAACACCATACGGGGCCCAGTACGGAATTATCTTTATGAAGAAGAAACAAAGAGAATTCCAATTCGTACACTTATTGACATCAGGCACAATACATGCTCAAGGAAGGGTAAGCGAATTAAAGAAGCTGACAATAACACAGCATCAGCAATCGGTAAGCGCCTCGTGTTGAGGTCTTGTTTTAAGAATATTTTTTATGTCATTCCGAAGTGTAATCACAGCTTCACAAGGTGGATATAGTATCTATTGAGGTGCAAGAATTTATAGTGAGTGAGCCCCAGCCCAAAGCTATCTTCTATGGGCTGATTGGCCCACTGGGACTTGATTGATTGGGGTGGGGTAAGTGGATGTGGTGGCTGATATGACAGGAAAGTGGAGCTATTTAGGGAATGAGTGAGGTGTTTTAACTATTTAAGGGCACAGAAAAAATTGTTAGATATCACTCCAGCCTGTGTCAAAAAAAAATTTTTTTTTGCCGCATCATTTATTTCAAAAGCATAAAAAAATAATTATGCAATTTTGTGACTGGAAATACATTTTCCTTAAAAAACAATAAAGTTAAACCAGTTTTTAGACAATATTTACAATATTCTTGCCAAATAAAAGCAGTCTTTCTCTCATCGATAAAAAAAAAGAAGCAATATTCTATTGTTACGATTAAAGTCATCAAGAAAGGGTGCAGATCATGGAGCACATGGGGGCCCCACATATTGTAAAGAGCCGATCGCTACCACCCCCACTTTTCAACCTGCAGTGTAATTTCACATCAAGAAGATGCCTGAAATTTTTTGAAAAAACTGTATAAATATAAATGACCTAAATTTTAAGGAAAGAGCGTGCAGCAGTTCTGTGCCGTTAAATTAAAATAATTCATTCACCAGAAATTAAAATGATTACTTATGAATTTTGTAAATATGGTTTCAGTGCAACTAAATTGTAGTTGGCTTTACAGTATGTAATATAGCAAGTGAATTGTAATCATTGATCTGTGGATACTGCTCTCCAATTTTACACAAATCCAACATTTTAATTGGTGGAGTTGGCTTGACCCTAACTTTAAACGTCCGTCTCACTTTTTTAATGTATACATCATGTCAGAACAATATCCATTGCTATTGTTAATCCATCAATTTGTTACTTATTTACATACAGGTGAAGTAAAGTATAGGGATCAATGTTGGGATCTTAATAAAAGAGGATCCGTTGGGGAAACAATTCTTCATCTCTGCTTCCTAAATAACACCCCAGCACACATGGAACTGGCAAAGAGGCTTTTAAACATCTATCCTGCTCTGGCAAAGGATATATACACTCATGATGAATATTATGGTAAGATGAAATTTCATATATATTCTATATATATTCAGTGGTTCCAAGTTTCCTGCTAGTTGCTAGCTTTTCCGGAAATAGAGACGGCATCAGGAGCGGATCCAGGATTTGAAAGAGGGGGTTCAAAATGATTGCAAAAATACTGGAAAATTGAAGGGGAAAGTGGGTCCGGGGTCCACCCCCTTGAAAATTTTGATTCCTAGATGGAGGCTGTAAATGAGCTTTAATTTCTTCAAAATTCAAGGTTTTCCCCTCTTAAAAAACAGGTCAGGTAAAATCAGATAAAAATCAGAGACAGGCCTATAGGCAATATATTATTAGGCTTTATTCCAACAATGTTGAGTAGTTGGATACGTAGTCTTTCTTCCGTAGATCGATGAGCCAGTAATTCTGAAGAACACACTTTGCGTACATAAATTATTGACGTCGAGCCAAACACAGCATTTTTAATTGTATTTAATTGAAAGCTAGTTGGCTAAGACTAGTTTGTCCAATCTTCCAACCTATGCCCAGGTAGGTTAACATGCCTTTTGTAAGCCAGGACGGACCCAGTTATATTTTGCTACGTTTCTCAACAGAATTGGACTGGCCCGACCAGGGGTCAGATTTCCCCAACGAAACCAAAGTGGGCGAGGTCGAGCTTCGATTAAAAGATTTTGAAAGTAGTCCTGGGGGCAAAGGCCCCGAAAATTTTTACAATTTAGGGGTTTCAAAGGCTTATTTAATCGATTTTAGGGTACTAATATGTTGAAAATACATATAATTTTTTTTTCTCTCCGATAAATTGTGCTTTTTCTCCCCGACTGGGGGGGTCCCTGTATTGAGAGTATATATTATTATTTGAATATGTTTTCCATATCATATTAAAAGTTACAACGTAAAAAATCCAGTCGATTTTTTGCAATGATCCGTCAAAGTTGGACCCTCATGCCAAAAACAGCACGTTCCTCAATCCTGAGGCTCTTAATTTAAATTATTCTCACTTTGGTATTTTCAGTGTTTCCATTATAAGCCCTTTTCTGGATTTTTCTCTCAATTTGCCTGTTTGGCCATCATCTGCTTCAGATTTGATGATTGGAAGGCCCAGTGGAAAGCAGGGCTATCACTGACCTTGTTACCCCTCCTTGAACAAGCCTAATAAAAAATATAAAAAAAACAAGATTCTATCAATGCTGAAACAGTAATGATGGCATTTTATTTTGTTTATTTTCAAAACCATTTAGGTGAAAACTGTCTTCATATGGCGATTGCAAATGATAATTTTGAAATGGTTCAATACCTTGTCAATCATAGTGTAGAAATCAATGCAAGATGTTGCGGCCATTTTTTCAGCACAGATGATCAGATTAAGAAACGATTTGATACTTATGATGACGAGTACGTTCAAATCTCAAAGAAGACAAACTATGAGGGGTAAGAAATGGTGTACTTGCAATGACAGTGCATTACTCATATTGTTAATAGCTACAATGACAGCCTCTGTGTCTAGACATGTGTCCTACTGATAATGGTTTCAAGTAGGTTCCTACATAGACAAGGTTGAGTTCGAGAGCCGCTCTCGAATAAGCGCCGCACCAAACCTGATTATTTTTTGCCAAGCGCCGCTCTCAAATGAGTGCCGCGGCACTCATTTACCCTGTGTGTAATGAAAAACACTGAGAAATGAATAAATAATACAATGAAGACACATTTCTTTATAAATGTTTGTTTACAATGACTAGGACCTATGATAGGTCTACCGATACGGGAAGCATACGTGAGATAGGCAACGTGGGAAAGGGCATGGAAAGCGGCATGCCAATACTTTTTTATAAGCGCCGCTTTCAAATAAGCACCACTTTCAAATAAGCGCCGCTCTCGAATAAGCACTGCACTGAAGCCTCCAGAAATTTTATAAGCAGCGCTTATTCAAGCATTTACGGTATGTTATTTTTATTCAAATTATTATTTATATGAAACAATATACAGTTACAAGTTTTTGGCCCCTTATTAACCTATGACATTATGCAAAGTAGATGAACTAAAAATGCACTGACCTCCGCAGGGTTGGGTTGTATGGTGCAGTGGTTAGAACTCGCTAAATCACTCTCACTATTACAATTGCAGCCCTGGTCCGAGTCTCACTGATGTGGAGTTAATTTCCATGTTTTTTATACTTCATAATTTTCTTTATTATGGTTTTATTTTTATTTTTCATGTATTATATCATAATATTATTATTATCAGTATTATTATTACCATAATATTAAACATTAGAATAGTGATGCATTTTTTTTGTTTCAGGGCATTATATCATATTATTATTATTATCAGTATTATTATTGCCATAATATTAAACATTAGAATAGTGATGCATTTTGTTTTTTTGTTTCAGGGCGAAGTACTGGGGAGAGTATCCCTTGTCATTTGCAGCGTCTTTAGGTCTAATTCACATCTTTCGCTACCTGCATGCCAAGGGTGGACACATCAACGCTCAGGACTCAAATGGAAACACAGCAATGCATATGGCAGTAATTCACAACCAAATGGTGAGGTTGATATATTTCCGGGGCTGATTTAGGGGGGCCTTGAAGTGTTTCAACAGGTGCATATTTTTTAATTACTGTGAAATAATAGACATGTAAGTTGCTTAAACTAAACTTTAAGATCCAGGGGCAGATTTAGGCGGGGTGTCGGCCTGGCCCCGCTTTTGGGAGGGAAAAAAAGGGGGGGGGGGGAAAAGAAATAAAGAAAGAAAAAGAAAAAAATGATAGCCCACAACGCCTCAAATGTTATTTTCGGGTGTCTAGAACACAAAAATTTCGCGGGGGCATGCCCCCGGACCCCCCAGAACATTGTTGTCTCGATCGGCCCAAATTTGGCCCCCCCCTTTCGGCCCCCCCCCCCTTTTGGTCATCTCTGGATCCGCCCCTGTATTTATTTTAACAATACTGATAGTAATAATACTAGTATGGTAATAATAACGATATTTAAATATCAATTTTAATAACTAATTGGTGATAATAACGATATTGAAGGTGATAATAGCAAATACAACAATAATAAATTAAAGATAATGTTTATTTTTATAATTAATAATAATACTAATTAGTAATAATAATAATAATAATAATAATAATAATAATAATAAATAATAATAATAATAATAATAAGGGAT